TTTGGGCCTGTTGTCTTGTTTTTAGCATTACCTGGGAATTGTTTTCTGCATAAGCCACACTAGGTGATCGTAAGGATTCATTCCAGCTCTGAAATTACGTCTTCCTCTTGAATACTGCCCAGTATTTACTACTAACCAGATAAAGCCGCCTTAAGATCCACTAACTGGAAAGAATATACTTCACTGAAGAATATAAATGAAAAAGAAAGTGAACATACAGGCTCTCATCACCCAGATGAAGGGAGTCAATATTATTTTATGTTGGAAACCCCCATGTGCCGCTGAGCACGTTGGCCTCACTCAGGGTCTAAGCGTAGCTGTAAACCCGCACACGTAATTTTTGGAAGGAAGAAGTAGATGTTCATGGGCACCACTGGCGTGAGGAAGTCGGAGCAGGGAAAAGCAGCATGAAGGGCGGCCTATAACGTCTCGGCAAGCTCCTGGCCGCCCCAGGAAGGAGGCCGCAGGCCGCAGGCTCCAGGCGCTGCCGTCGAGGCTGAAGGAACAGAAGGCGTGTTTCAGCTGCGTCCCCAAAGGGGAAGCAGAGTCCCAGGTCGGGGTTACGTCATGTTAACCTTCTAAACGCAAAAGGAAATAAACAGCCCTGTAATTTAATTCCAGGAGAATAGGACGGAACTTATCTTTGAAGAATTAATGGACAAAATTTTCCTCAATTTGGTGAAAGGCATATATTTACAGATTTAATAAGTTCATCAATCTTAAGCAGAAAAAATACAAAGAAGACAACTTGTAGACACATCATGACCAAACTCTTGGCCATCAAGCTTAAAGAGAACATCTCCAAAGTAGGGATTTTTTAAAAAACAACTTTAAAAGTCTATGTCAGCAATGATATGAACACCTCGTGACTTTTCACCAAGAACAATGGAATCCAGAAGATTCTGTAATAACATTTCAAAAGCCAAGAATATTTTCAACCTAGATTTTTACATCCAGTAAAAATATCTTTCAAAAGTTAAAACAAAATGAGAATATTTTCCAATGATAGAGAGAGAGAGAATGTTTTGTCAGTATATCTGTACTACAAGAAATTTTAAGCAAGTCCTTTAGACTGAAGGGAAATTAGTAATAATATACATATTATGAGCTAACTTTACCTAACTGACAATTTCACCTAACAGAATTAGCATATTCATTCTTTTCAAATTCACAGAGTATATTTATCAAGATAGATCATATTTTAGGCATAAAAGAATCCCTAGTGAATGTAAAATGATTGAGCCATGCTGACGTGGCTCAGCAGTTGAGCATCCACCTAGGATCCAGGAGATAGTAGTTCGATTCCCGGTCAGGGCACAGGCCAGATTGTGGGCTCCATCCCCAGTGGGGGGTGTGCAGGAGGCAGCCGATCAATGACTCATCATTGATGTTCCCATCTCTCTCTCTCCCTCCCTCTCTCTGAAATCAATAAAGACATATTTAAAAACCAATAAAATAAAATGATTGAAATCCTATAGAACAGTGCCCCAACCATAGTGAAATTAAATTATAAATTCATTAAGAGGATAGAGAGGAAAATTCTAAATATTTGAACACTAAACACACACTTCTAAATATGTTATGGTCAAATAATGAGTAATAAGGAAAGAATCAGAAAAATCTAAGGGCCTAAGAGCACTCCGGCCTCGCCACGTCTGGGTCAGTAGAGCGGCCCCCTCTTCAGCGCAGCTCCCAGGGCACAGAAGGAAACAGGCCACACCTGGAGGACTCACCGCCCGGCGTCCAGGCCACCACCATCCACCCTACACGGGGGCCAGGGCAGTCGGGGAGCCCTGTCCTGAGAGCGGGGTATGAACAGTTAGTCCGGAGGGACAGTGGTCGCAACTGTAACTCTGATATACCAAGTCTTTTCTTTACAGCGCGTGTGTCTTAGGCCACAACACAACCCAGCTCATGGTCTAAGCTTGGTGCCAGTCCTGCCTTTGCTTACTTTTGACCGTGGGATGGGCTAAGGGATTGGGTTGGGTTGTTCTCTGGCCGTTTCAATTTTCTAGAATAATCACTTCCTGGAATAATCACTTTCTTTATTGCTCTCGCTTTAGCCATACTTGTCACGTCGTAAGTGGTCACTGAAGGAAGAGGGGAGGAAATTAAATGTGCTCCTACCTCCATAATTTATAAAGAGAAAACTTCTCAAACTAAGTCTCATTATCAAAGCTCTAAATAACTTCCTCCCAAGTTTATGTTGTAGATTAATTAAACAGATTTATTTGGAACTTAATTTGAACTGAAAGTTCAATTCAAGTGCTGAATGAAAAGCTGTTCACATTTTTTAAGCTTTTAAATTTATTGCTATTTATTATTCATGAAAGTTCTGTAAACGGAAGCTCTCTACTAGATAAACGAAAACCACCATTTTTAAAATAGAGAACATGCTATTTTTTGTTAAAAAACTCATTTCAGGTTGTTTTCATTATTTTTGAGTTTGAACAATTAATTTGCTTAATAGCCATTTTAATTCAGTTTCTAAATTTTATATTTAATCCTATGAAAATACTTTCTTTATTAAAGACTACATTAATCCTCTGAGAATCCTCTTAAGCCCTTAAATCTTGGGAATATTTTATTATCAATTTATTTCTTCTATTGCTTTAAAACAGTTATTCTAATAATGGATAGCACTGATAAACATAAAACAAACGCTCACCTGATATTCCAATACTCAGGGACAAGCAATATTAACATTTGACCCATAATGATCCTGAATTGTGTGTGTGTGCATGTATGTGTGTGCAAAATAACTGTACAAGTAGATAATTCATGTACATGTGGATCTCAACATTACATTGAATCATTTGAAATTATTGATATTTGATCACTGTTGACCTAGCAAAACAACCATTTGACATAATTCAGTGTGATAGGTAGAGATAAGTTATTTCCAATATGAAATGAGGTCATTTTATGGTTATTTTCTAAGAAAAAATTGTCACAGGGCTTTTCTAATAAGCTACTACACATGTTGAATGACAGTTTTTGCACCTGAGGAAGTTTTTATGTCGTGATATTATAAATCATGCTATAATGAATGACTTACATTACATCTTCCTACATTTTTTCTTTTCTATTTTCCTGGTGGGTAACATGCTTGAAAAAGAAATACTGGGCTAAAGGCAATATTTGCTGGTGGAAGAGAGGATTTTTTAAATATCTGGCAAATAACCAACTTGCCTTTAATAAGGAATATATACTTATATTACCAAAGCTATAACCATTTATTTACTTTTTGCTATGCTCACCAATATCTGTTTTCTTTTTTTGTTGGTTTTTAAATGAAGATACAGTAGTGATTTTCTGTTCATTTGAATTTATATAATTAATAATGAGATTGATAGTGTTTATATTTTTTGGTCACTTGTATATTTTTGACTTTCAAAGTGTTCTTTATGCAGAAGCTGCTTCCTACTCCCTACTGTATAAGCAAAAAAAATAAACAAAAGAAACAGTGTGAACATCACCTGGGGTTAACATAAGTCAGTGCCTGTTGGCTTGAGATACACGCTGGGCACCGTGATGCCTGCTGATTCCCTTACTCATGGAGCCCAGGACATTTGTGACAGTGAAGTGACCAGTAACCCATCCCTCTTTTTCAACATTGGAAAGTACAGAGGCCTTGAAAGTTGGTTCAGCGTGACACCTAAAACACTGTGTGTAGAAAGGACAAGAAAATACCTGAAATAAAATTGTCTTGAGGGGGAGTCTCAGGCAGCTAATTCAGGCTCAGCAGAGTGACTAATATTTTTTTTTTCAGGGGGCGGGGATGGTTGATTTGTGCATAATATGTACCTAATATAGACCACTTTTCTAAACACAGTAACAAGGGTCTAGTAGGTTGTGCTTTTGAGAATACAATTAAGAAAAAAAAAGGTGACCTAAAATGAACTGGCCCTTTGTGTATGGGTCACCGATGTGACCTGCACAGAAACTGTGTAAGTGTGGGATTCTAGCCCCTGTAGACAAATGTCATTTGTTGAGTTGGGCAGGACCAGTCATCTATAGTGACACTTTATACCAGTGAGAAGCAGTGAACATTTTGGCCACATGAGATTTATCTCTCTTTCTCCATTATACGTTTGGACGTAGTCCTAAAACCTTTCGATTAAGTCCCAAGGAATTTTAGACTGTGTATTTTTCCTGTATTTCTTTCCCTCCCCCCATTTATTAGTAGAGGTAAGACAAACTTTAAGGGGAAATAATTTGGAGCTTAAGATGTGAAATGTAAATAAAAGGAAAGCAAAAGCATTTGTACTTTGAATTGATAAAATAGATTGTTTTATCGCTTTTAACTTTTCTCTCTTTTAAAGTTGTAATATTCATGATTTTGCTTAGAGACACCCAGTCATAGAATTACCCCACTGTCTCACAGCAGCTAAGTAGGTCTGAGCAAAGCTGTACTATTTAAATCCCTCTTATTATAATAAAAAATAAATCCAGTTCCTGGTGGGTTCTGGCTGGTAGACATAGACAAAAAATCATGGGGCACATAAATAAAGCTACAGATTACAACAGCTAGAGAAAATCAATCAGATAGAATCAAGGAAATACGTAAGTCAGTTCAGGAGCCAGGGTTATGCTATCGCAAATAAACAAAATAATACATAGGAATAAAAAGAGTTAGAAGTTAGTCTTTGAAAAGATTTACATAAAAGGCAATTCGATTATAGGGCCTATTATTTTTTTGTCAATGTCCACCAGCCAAACCCACCAGAAACAAAAAGAAATAAGGCACACATACTCATTATAGATGGGAAAATGTGTGTGTGTGAGGGGGTGGGGGTGGTAATAAGAGAGGCAGCTGAATGCATTTTGAGCAATAAATGTGGATAATTAAAAGGAAAAATTCTTTAAAAACATAACTTCCCAAAATAAGCTTCAACATAAATACGTGAGCTCAATAAAAAGAGCCTTTAACCATCAAATTGTATACACAGTCAAAATGTTCACACAAAGAAAGCACAATGGTCAGTTGGTTTAAAAGATGAGTTGTAACAGACATTCTAGTATTAGATCACTTCAGTCCTTTTAGAGAATATGAAAATATAACATTATCAACTTATTTAATGTGACAAGTATGTTGACTTCAAAATTAGACTGGGAGAATGTGAGAAAATTACAAATGTTGATGTAAACATCTTTAATTAATTATTAACAAACTCAATCCAGCAACATACACAAATATAATGAATAATTCTCAGGCTGGCTTTATCAGAGCAAATCAAGTTTGGTTTAATCTCAAAAGAAAAAATATATATTTTCATATAATACAGATAATAATATTTTCACACTAACAGATACAGGCAAATAAACATACAGCTATCACCATGAATGCAGCAGAAGCATTGAATAAATCCTATTATACATTTATGATAAAAAGCCACTTGTCAAAGTAGGACTAGAAAGGAATACCATATCCTGAAAAGCTAAGTCTATGAAATACACGCTGCATCCACTGCTCAGTGGTGAAATCTGGAAGCACTATATTCACATAGGAACAGTATGAGAACACGCACTATTACCAGTTCCACTCGGAGTTTTACAGGAGATCCTAACAAAAGCAGTAAGAACATCAAAAAGTTGCAAGATTAAAAGGAAGGAAATACCATAATTCTCATACATTACAGATTGCAAAACCACTTGTGTAAGTATTTCAAAAGAATGTGCAGTTCAATTATTAAATTAGAGGAATTAATAAGGTCCCTGATACAATATAAATACACACAGGCCAACTGCATTTTCTATATACTTGCAACAGAACATATAATTAAAAATAAACGTTATCTACTGTAATAACAATATAAAGTGCTCAGACTTATATCTATCAAAGGATTAACAAGTATTATATAAAAGGCCAGACATACCATGCTCATGAATATGGACTAATTCATGTAAAGTGGTCAATTCTCCCAAAATAAATGCAATCATTTACAATTAACATCTACTGTTCCTCGTTTGTTGGCTTTGAGAAACTGTGCAAACTCAGTCTGAAATGGATATGGAAGACCAAGCTTAAGAAAATCTAAGACAAAATGAAAAATAAAATAAAAAGACTTGCCAGATTTCAAGGCTAACAAAGGGACTATGGTAATTAAGACAGTGTGCTATTGTCAGTGGCATAATCAAATTTGCCAGCAGAATAAAGTAGAGAGCTCAGAAGTAAGTCTCATTCAAAATAGAAGACCTGGCATGTTGTAGAGAAAGCATGGAAGGGTAGTGGGAAGGAAAAGGGTTTCAATCTTTTCAGTCTAGGATAACAGGTTATTCACACAGAAAAAGAAAATAATGTCAGAATAAACACAATTAATATAAAGCAGGTTAAATAGTGAAATATAAAAGACAAAAATCAATGGCAGATAGATTCTAAAATGACCCCCATTGTTACATCTCCTTGTATTTGTGACCTGGGGTGTGAGGACCTGTGACTTTTTTCTAACCAAAGCTGATTGGGGGTCACTTCCATAATTCAGCTACATTGTTAGCAGTTCCTCTTCTGATATCCTTCCATCCTGGCTTTCATGAAGTAAACTGCCATATGGAGAAGCCCATGTGGCAATGACTGAGGATGGTCTCCAGCCAATAGCCAGAAAAGAACTGAGGATGCTAGTCCAAGAACCCGCAAGGAACTGAATCCTGCCAATAGCCATGGAGCTCAGAAGCAGATGCTTCTCCAGGTGGGTGTCGGGTGAGATCCCAGTGCCAGCCAACAACTTGATGGCAGCCTGTGAAAGACCCTGAGCCCAGGACCCAGTCAAAGCATGGATTCCTACCCACAGGGACTCTGAGATAACCAATGTGTGTTATTTTAAGCCATTATGTTTGGAGGAATTTTGTTATACAGTAATAGACAACTGATAAAAGTATTTAAATGCTTAGATGAAAACAGAGGAGGATATTTTTAGTGCCAAGACTCTGGAAAAGACTCTTTAATAAGACACACACAAAAAACTATAAATAATAAAAGAAAACACTGACATATTTGCTTACATTCAAATTAAGGACACCTGTGTAGCAAAACAGATTACAAATTCGTCATACAAAGATCATGAGAACAGAAGCCAAAGAGTCATCCATAGCACATATAACCAAAAAAGGTCTAATGTTATTGATAATTGATAAACTTCAATGACTTCATAAGAGAAATGAACTTGATAAAAAATGCATAAAAGACAGGAACATGGATTTTATTTCACAAAACGCAAATGGAAAACAGTAAGAACTATTATACGTGTACGTGTGCTCATGCTCGGGTGCATGTAGGCTATATGTCATCAATAATCAGAGAAGTGCAAGTGAAAACGAAAACGTGACACTCAGACAGGAAAGTATTAGAAAGTCTGAAACTGTCAAGTACAAGAGAACATCTGGAACAACCGAAACTTTTCTATGATGGCCGGAGTGTCAATTCGTACAGACAACTGGAGAAGTAATAACTTGGCATTGTCTAGAATAGCCAAGGATGTGCTTTCAGCCCTGGATAGATAGATAGATATATATTAGATATATATTAGGAAGGAGGCTAGGGTGAGGGTGGGTGAGATGGTTCTGGATACAAACAAAACACAATGACAGAACTCTTGTATATGTGCATTATAGAACATACTTGAGAATTGTTCATAGTGTTTGAATTTGCAAAAAATTAGAAATATTCCCCAAATCCATCAACAGGATAAAAGATAAAGTATGGTATGTTCAGATAATGGCATATACATATCATGGAACACCACCATGTTGAAAATAAGTGATCACCTACAAACATGAACATGCATTAGACAAAGTTTTGGGCAAAGCAAAGCAAGCTGCAAAAGAACAAAGCATGTTACTGTTTACATGAAGTTAAAAACATGCAAAAGTTGACAGTATGTTGATAAGAAAAGATGTGTGTGGTGGAGCTAGAAAGCCAAGCAAGGGAATGGTAAACACAAAATCCAGGATAAACGTTCACTTCTGGGGTAGTTGGTGGGAGCAGGAGGATGTGACTATGGAAGGTCGAGATTAATTGTGCATTTCTCAGGGTAGATGGTGGGTATATTCATGATCATTTTAATATCTTTCGGATCTTTTATTCCTGGTACCATATTGTAGAGTGTGCGAGTATATGAATTGTGATGCGAAGTCCCCCCTCTGCCACAGAAACTGATCAATATCACAGAGGAGGGCTTCTCACTTCCCAGGCAGGGTCCACACATCTTCTCAGTATCAACATATTAATGTAACCTATTTTGCATATCCATTCATACTAACTACAGTTTGATAAACAGGGACAGCTGGCACACGCCAGGATCAACACAATAATGTTCTCTAATTTGTATACAGTGAACCGTAGCAGGGTGTGGACAGCAATACCCAAGAAAAACTACCCTAGCAAAGGATTCCCTCTCTATCAAGGGTAAGAGCCCCACTGGCACAGGCCTATGGCACTTGGTCCCGGTGCAGAGGTGCACGCTCTCTCCTACCCTTCACTGGGAGGCTGAGTCTCTGGCTGGAGGCTCTGCAGTTTGCTCCGGGGTCCCCATCTACAGCCACGGGAGACAGAAAGCATCCAAACTTACAAAGCACCACTCAGAGGAAGAGGTACTTTTAGCCCAACCCAAATTATATGAGTGAATGACATGAATTAACAGGAAAAAAAATGTTCTATATGGATTAATTTTTCTATTGAGGTAATCCTTTGTTTTGTATGGTGTTGAGGCGAATTAGATGATATACGTAGAGTTACCCTTCCTGTCACTACCAGCACCGATCGGCATGCACACCGCAGACCATGTGCTCTTTGGGACATCCCTTGATATTCAGTGACAGACCACATGTCTGTTGGAAACGTGCTGGTGAGTGAGGCAGTAGGGAGAGGGCAAGCGGCAGTGGGTCTGTTCTATTTGCGTCTCTCTGGCAATCGATGGGACGTGCTATGAAAACTATGGAGTCAAAACCTAATTAAGAAAAAAAAATAGGTGGTGATCTCTACCAAATTTACCAGAAGCTCCCCCTAACTCGGTAACCATCTCTTCCCTCATAGCTGCAGTGTCAGGAAGAAACTGTCTACTACAGGACACATTACTTCCCGGTGCCTTTCTTCAAGTGGGACTCTACTGGCCTGCCTCTCCTCTCTTCTCCTTGATAAGTCTCTACTAATATTGAGGCCTCTAGAGACTGCAGTTCCCCATGGGGTGCAGTCAACCAACTTTTGTGTTCTCCCCCATGCTCATCAGTACCTCACCATACCCCAGAAGAGCACGGTCCATGACGAGTGACTTGTAAACCCACTCAGGATTCTTTCACAAATGCATATTCCCTAGAGACATAATATGGGTTTCAAAAGTATCTGCAGAGTAAGTACCATATAGAGCTCCTGTGAGGATTACAAGGAGATACAGGAAAAACTTATGGCTCAATCTGTAGCACATATTGAGACTGATTCGTGAGAGATGCTTTTTTTTCTTTTAAAGTCTCCCCTGTGCTAACCTCATGCACCACCGACTTAGAATGTCTCAAGCAACCTGCAAGAACCTTCTACTCTTTAGCAGTATCACAACTTAATTTTACCGGTGGCAGGAGCGACAGATGGAGCGCCCAAGTACGTAATCTGGGCATGCTCTTGCCATTCAGTAAGCTGGGATGGTGTATGTAGAAGACTGCAGGTCAGAGACAGAACTTGGAATGAATGAGCAGAGCAGAGACCTGCCCATCACTGAGTGGTGCAGGTTTAGTGGGTGAGAGTGTGGGACTGCGTGACAATATTCAACTGCATTTCCCATTGTCTGCCTTCTCGACTCCCTACAAAATCCTCACAGTTACCCCAGACCTAAAGAACAGGGCTATTACACATTCTCCCAACCATGGCCAAGTTGCTTTTAGCTTTTTAGTTAGAGAGGAGTCTTGTTATACATATAGTTTTAATAAACTGGTTAATGATCAGACATAGCCATTTTTAAATCATTGTTAATGTTTACTCATTGATAATTGTGTGGGATATACTTTATATATCACGAATGTCTAGGATCTATGGTGATGCACCCCAAACTCGGCTGACAAATGGCACGAGTTATAAGGCCAGAGAGGAGGGGTAGCATTTCCACACAAGAAGAAATTAAAACATACTTGTGTGTGTCGAGAGGTTCTTCTTTGAATGTATTTGCTGAGGGTGATGTGGCCGGTCCTCTTCCATGCCTGGGAATGAGACATTAATCATCCCATTCTTGCCAGACATTTACTAATTATTTCCTCTGTCTAAAGCATCAATCAGATGTCTAATATATGGGTCTAGGCCTAATACGTATGCATGCTTGGGTCATCTGCGTAAAACTTGTGCCTCTCCAGGTTTCTATAAAGTGCATTCATAGATTTATCTTCTTTCCCCTGAACAGACTGTCCCATTTCCTACCCTTCCTAAAATTTTTATTAGAATAAATTCAACTCTGGATAGAGACGATTCCATCCAAAGTAATTCACATTATTTTACTTTTGAAAAAGTTTCCCACTATATTTACTTGTTACTTGTGTCAGCAAAATTAACGTTCTTTAAAAGTTTCAAGATTTAAATGCTCTTATTTTAATAAAAGCTTCTATCCCAACTGTGCCTAAGTTTGGAGAAGCTAATGAAGGAAGGGGTTAATTTTACAGAGAGGACATTTTATAAGTGTTTCCTTTGGAAGCCTCTCATAGTGATTATTGTTGCTTTAATTGTTTTTAAGATGATAAGATTAAGTGTAGAGTCTAGTCGGAAGTTTCTCCTAGCATAACACCCTAAGAGTGCAGGGCCTGGGTGTTCAGGGACAGTCAGTCCCCTTAGGTATTGAGATGACAAGGCAGGGTCCCCAAGCATGTAGTTCATCCAGTGCCTGTCATCCCTTGTCCACACAGAACATTCCTCACAGGAGACTCTGCAAATAGGTCTCTTCTCCTTCAGCAAACTTTCCCTTGGGGTGGGAGTGGGTGAGCACAGGGAGAGGAAAATTCACCTTGACGTTGCTGTGTGGGGGTGCAAGTTAGGATTCCCCGTGAAGGCCATTTTATCAAGCACGTCTCTTTCGTTAGCTATCAGGAATGTGCCCATGTTTGTTCACAGAACTACTCTCCTTTTCACTTTCCTCTCCCCTCCTCCAAGTACTCAACCTGCCTCTCTTCTGCCATGGGCACATTTCTGTGCCATTTTAAAAGAAAGGCGGTGGTATAGCTTCTACTTTCTTCTTTGTTACCTACACACATTTCTAATTCTTACCTCAATCAGACCTAACATTACCGCCAACCCAAAGCCTTTTTATTGGATCTCATTTGAGATCACATATTTTGGGAATTGAAAGCAAACACTGAGACTCTGACGGATAATGGAAATAGTGTTATCACCCGTGTAGCAATTTTACATGCTTGTTGATAACCCTCAGAGAGAAAAAATAATCTTCCTTGAAAATAATAGTGTAGATTCAGGTCTTCAGTTGCCCTCTCGACCTATGTTAATATGACTTTCATTCATTTTGACATTGTAGAGAAAAAGTCCTGGGAGCTCCAGGAAGGAAGGAGACAAAGCAGAGTAGGAGCGGTCTGCATTCATTCACACCACAATGCGGGGGAAATGACAGCCAATCGAGGTTTAGCTGGAATGGAACATAGCCACAGCTTTATCACTCTGCAGGCACATTCTGACATAATAACAAACTACTGAGAAAGGAGCACTTTTATCTAGGTCAGAATAACAGACTCCCAAGTGTTAGAGAGCTCGGGGGAAACGACAGTTTGAAACATCTGAAGAAGACTGAAATCTGTACAGAGATTTTCATCAAGTCTCTGCACTGTCTAATGGTTCACATCCAGGGCGTTGTAATTACTCCACTGGCTTCTCCTGGCCCAGCATTTCGATGTCAGCGCCTACCCAAAGAAAATGAACCGCCGTCGATGACGACCACGTTTATAATAAGATGCAGATGGCAGAGGAAACAGATGCTTCTGACATCATCTCCCGTTTGCCCACACTGGCAGTCTGTGAACTCATTCAAAGGACACGAGACAAGCCAGGCAGTTTTCCAATTCTGCTTCCTTTTTGAGTCATAGGGTGATAATTCCACAAAAAGAAGTTTGATTCTAAATCTGTGTCAGGCTTTAATGCAAAACTAATCTTCAGGAAAAAAATCCCCACAAATTCGGGGAGTTTAACAATTAGTATCTGCGGACTGTTTTGGGCGACAGTGGCAGAAAGCACAGGGTGGCAGTGGTGTAATCTGAGCAGCTGTGGCTTCAAATAGGCAAAAGAGAGAAAGGAGTTTTAAACAGAGAAGCAGGTCGAAAATACTCCACCAGCCCTTGGCACCCAGATGATTCAAAGACTGAGTCCATTACTTCAAAGTAGAAAATGTTAAGGAGGCTGTTTCGGTCAGTTTCTGACCTGCAACAACACACATTCCTTTTGTATGTCCGTCTGTATTTTACAGAAGGAAGCATATAGTCCAGATAGGAGTTTCCACCATTTCCCCAGTGATAGCACTAAACGTGATACACAGGAAAGGGTTTATTTTCTTGTGCGGGATAAACGTGTCCAAAGAACTTTTTTAAAAAGGAACTTCTGTAGTCCATCTTGAAAGCAAGAGATGCTTGGGTAAAGCAACATCTGAAAGCCTTGAGCAGTCTTTGAGGTTCCACAGATCAGCACAGTTGCAGATGGAGAGAGTTAAGACAAACACCTTTACATCTCTCGATCTCCCCTGACCACAACAGAACTTCATCTACACCTCTGTAGGGGAAGCATTTTAGCAGAAAACAACTCAGAAACAAAGGCAAGAAAGTGGTGACGTACAAATAAATCGTGCTCGGCCAAATAGGGTGCCTATTTTTAAAATAACCTCTGTGCAAGTAATTAACTGCACACACACACACTCTCTTTCTCTCTCTGTCTCACACACACTCTCTGTCTCTCACACACCCACACAGAGTACAAGAATAAACAAACTCTTCCAATTCAGGTCCACACACTGGGTTGGAAAGTATTAGTGCAAATTTCTGCTGACCTGCAGCGCTCAGTCCGTAAACTTTGGGTATCCTAAACGGTCCATCAGTGTCCAGCAGATGTTTTCAATCTGTTTAATCTTCTCTCTAGGTAAGTTCTGTTTCCAAACATTAGTGTTACTTGGTGATATCTCCCCTTCGTAGGGGAGATAGAAAAGGTTTGTGGAGGTGGCAAACAATATTTGGTTTAAGCTAGCAGGAGATAAAGGGATGCCAAGGAAGGCAAAAATCCTTTCCGTGGTTTTCTGGGGGAAATGCACAATGTCTTCAAACCTGATCAGCTGGTAGCTGGTAGGCAGCAAACCGGTGTTTATTCTCAGGGCCGCCGCCGTGTGCGCCAGCCACAAGTGAGACAGCAGGGAGACCGCGTTAGCCTGGGGTTTTGATAATTCTTTCCTTAATGATTCATACTCGAGAGCATAGCCCGAATTCAAGCTGCATCGGCCTTTACCTCCCTCTACGTGAAACAGCTTAGCTAGGCGCTCGGGTACCTTCTTCAGGGAGTAGAGGCTGGGTCTGCTGCTGTACAGCATGGAGTAAACCCACGCCCGAGGGTCCCTCACTACGTACAAGGCCCTCAGCGAGGATCCCAAAACTTCCTGAAAGAAATGAAGCTTTAAAGCCCAGCTCCCACTGCTCAGGCTGAGCACGGGCCGTGCACTCGGGAAGTAAACCAGGTGCCTCCTCAAAGCCCTGATGTACTCAGCATCCCTGTCGAAAGTGCCTTTCATTCGACGACTCTGTTCCAGCAAAGGCTCCTTCCTCTTCCACCTTCTTTTCTTGTCTTTATTGGCTGTGAAATACTGGGCCAGTTTAGCCCTGCTGGACTCGTGCAGACGGATGTTTTGCAAATGCAGTTTTGTGTCCTGGACCAAAGACTGCAGCCAGCCCCGGAGGAGACGGAAGCGCACAGTGTGGATATCTGCTGCCCTCCACTCACAGGGGTCCACAAAGGAGTCGATCTCAAGTTCTGTCTCAGGGATGTCAATGTAGGCGGTGGGAACCCTGACATAGAGAAAATCGCTGCTGTTGAAAAAGAGCTGTTTGAGAATCTCCGCTCCAGAACCAGGGAGTGAGGTAATGACAACATCGGGAAGATCGACACGGCGCCCTTGGGAAGACACAGGCTTCGAGCCAGCCTCGGCCCCCGTCCTAGCCCATTTTGCACAGATGGGCTGAGTGCAGGCGCTCCACACATCCAGGAGCTCAATAAACCACAAGGCGACGACCAGGATTAGGATCCATCGCATTAGCTTTCTGAACGAAAGGTAAAACCGCCACTGGAAAGTTAAAATCAACAAGCTAATGCACAAAATCAGCCCAATCGCTATATTAAATTTAAATCCAAAGGGGAAAATTGCTTTATCCGGTCTTACGGGCTTTACTATTGCTTGAGAGCCCAAACCGAATTGGATGATTTGGCCCTGATCAGCCACGTTGGCAAAACCACCAAATCCCAGGTAACTGAATCTTGTGTTCAGGTTGTAGTAGTCAGTTACAATGGAGACGACATGTTCAGTATTATTGATGTTGAGAGAAATCTGAAGTCCGGAGTTGGAGTTATCAGTAAACCTGCAGCTGGAAACGTTGACGTATGGCCCATAAAAGACGTATGCAATTCTCGTGATCGTGGATTCCATGGGAAATGTAACGTTAACAAACTGGGTCCACCGTTTCTTAAACTCGGCCGCTTGCTCTGCCTCCTGTATACTAGCGACGGGGCTGCGGCCACGGTGATCAAACCAAAACATTTTGTAGTGTGCATCCCACACATCCATCATGGCGCCATTGTACCTGTTCATGAACCTATACGGGATGTACTTAAAATCAATATCCAGGTTATGAAAGAAGGCACTGACCGATTTGATTGGGGAGTCGTCTTGCCTCTCAATGTGATCGACAACTAGCAAAGTTTGAGAATTTAAGAGAAGCAAAGCCCGGTACACGCTTTTCAGCTTCATCGCTGAAGAGTAGGCAGACACTGCCTCCCCGCTCACAAATATCATTTCCCCTTGTTGGGAGGCAGTAATGATTTCCCCTGCTGCGTCCCCAACCTCCTCACTGGTCCACTTGAGCCACTGTGCACACTCTCCCAGTTGACCTTCCCAGGGCTTATTACACTGGCTGGTGGGCGATGGCGCAAACACCAATACGTTGTTAAGGTGGCTCAACTTGGGTCCGTAGAGAGCTTCGGAAACAAACACTTGCCCATTGGGAGCAAAGGTAAATGAGTTCTGATCTGGATGCTCATGTCCTGGGTTAAAGCTTCTCCACCCATCAATCCAGGAGTATGGCTGAAAGTGAACTATGTCATACACAGCTCGACCCCCTAGTTTCCCAGATTTAAAAGACACAAAGGTATTGGTCTGTGTATTTGGCAACCCAGCCCCATAAGTGACAACGCCCCAGTTAGGGAACGTGTGCATTTTTGCAGTACCATACTCAGCAGGAGGCTGTGGAGTAAGCTGGGGATCATACCAGATGTATTCAGTGTGAAGGGTACTCCACCTCTGGGCAGTGGAGGGGACCATTGGTCCATCTTTAGGCCGGTGCCTTCTAATTTGCTGAGCTAACCAATTTCCAGCTCCGTTCTTTAAGATGAACTTATCCAAAAAAACCAACTGGCTCTCTGGACCATAAAACCAATTATAATTGGAATCTGCTATACCCACAGTCCTTTGGAAGCCCGGTAAAAGGGTGGCATAGTAGAACCAAAAGTGCATTTTTAACCAGTTATTATCTAAGTTGTTGATATTAAAATGGCGCTGGGCCAGGAAAACATACTGTGTAACTGATTTAGCTGTGTAGCTCCCATAGGCCACACCTTCATCCAAAGAACCATCCACAATATGATTCAGTAGAAACATTGTCTTTTCCATCACATCTACTACAACTTGTTTCCATAAATTCACTTTAGATTCTTTATCTACCCCGGTCACCAAGGCCCCGGTGAGCAGTGCTATCATATTGGTAGCTTGGTGGTTATGAAGAAGTTGTTTGCCCCACGAGCGGACCTTGGAATACTCATACATTTCCTCTGTAATCAGCCTGATTTTTTCCAGGTATTTTTGTCTTCGATGATCATCTAGTAAGTTATATAAAAAGTCAAATGCAGTGGCAAAACCTGTTAAGGAATGGCCAACCGGAACCTCATCCCCTGGCGCACTCTCAACCAGCCAGTCTTTGTAGCCAACCATCCTGTCCATATACTCCAAGACAAATTCAAAGGCAACTTTGTCTTCTGGGCATAACAAACAGTACAGTGCTAAAGGAGGCAGATTGTTACCATAAATTTCATTCCACTTGGCAGCAAAATCAGCGTGCTTGGGTGGAGGCAGGTAGTACGTTGGGTTGGACAGCATAGCTGTCACTGCACTTCTGATAGCTCGGAAGAGGTGCAGGTGGCTTGTGCGAGACCTCTGTCGCATTGCTTGGATTTCTCCCGCATCAAAATATAAACTTGGATGAAGCGTACTTTTCTTCAGCTTCTGGTTGGGTCTGAAATCTTGCACCTTCTGTGTCTTGAACTGATCTAGATCATCTGTGAACACTGCCCAGTCAGAGTAATTGCTTACAGATTCCTCAAAAGTAGAGAAAGCAAACATCACTAATGCTAAAGATAAGAAATGTCCTGTAAACATTAACGCCATGATCCATGGGGGAGTTCCTTCCCTTAGGCAATCCTGTTAACCAGCGCGCTCGGTGAGGTTCCCATCAGCTTAGTATAAAGCATACATTTAAGGCCTTGATAAAACAAAGACTACAAATCGCTTATGCTGTGCAATCCAGCTGCTACTCAGCTCGCTCAAAGCAAGTACGGTTGCCAAAAAGGGAAAACTTACACTGTGTATCTGTGTCCCTAACACAGTTTTGCTTCCAATAAAACTTCAAGGAATGTGAAACCTCCAGCTTTTCCGTATCATGGAGCAAACAGCAGTACGAGAGTCAAACATTCGGTGACTCCAGGGTTTACTTCCTTTGCATAAATCTAACATAAAAAGTCAAAATATACATTGTGGGGGAAAAAGGAAGAAAGAGAAAAAGCACTCCGAAACCCAAATGAAGTCATTCCTGGCCCAGGAAACCATCACCAGTGGTAAAGTCAGCACACGTGAGGGACGCCCTTGTGTGTGTCTGTCCCGAGAAGGTGACGAAGTACTGAGATCCCTGGGGTGAACTTGGCTGCTGTTATTCTCAACCTCTGACACTTCTGGCTTTGAGAATTCTTTCTTCTTCATTTTTGGGAGCAAAACATCCTCCACAGGCGTCTAAAGTCCTCTCTGGTTTTAAAAAGCACAAAATTCCCGCCCTTCTCTCCAATCTGTCTTTTTCAGGCTTTCTTAGTCATCAGCCTAGGATGACTCAGGGCAAGCGCTTTCCTGCCGTCTGTGCTCAGCTTCGTCTGTACAGCTAGAGAAATCTATAACCCGGCCGGCCACCTAGGTGCTCCTCTTCCAATCCTGAAGCAACCCCCAGCTGGGGAAAAAACTCCCCTTTCGCCAACAATGACGGCTCTTTTCTGCGCCTTTTTCATGACATTCTTTTCTGAGGGGAAAACAAAAAACACACATTCTCTGAGGCTACACGTATGCTGCGAGTGGATATAAACTGGTAACTCACATCTTGTACCCGACAGAAATCCCAGAATCACAATAAAATCTGTTATTAAGTACAATCTAAGTTAGCTCAAGTGGTTCTTTTTTTTTTTTTTAATTATACATTCAAATGCACGCATTAGGATAACAATGAATAGTGGCAGATGACAAGCAGCTACAAGATCTAACTCTGCGACAGTATTTACTTTAACTGTGGCTTGTGTTAGCCATTTAAAATGTTTTAAGGGGGTGGGGGGAAATGAAGGGTAGGGGCATTCTAGAGCATGGTGACTGACAGGACGAGATCTGACTTTGGGTGGTGGGCACACAAGCCAATATACAGATGATTTATCCTAGATTTACCCCTGAAACCTATGTAACCTTATTAACCAATGTCACCCCAATAGATTTAATTAAAAGTCTTTTAATTTATAAATGTTTTTCTTGAAATGCAGTCTTCCCAGAGATCAGTGCTGCTATGATTCTTGTTGTTTAGGTCACAAAGGGCTCAGGGACAAAAAGCAAAAGTTGCAAGGCCCCTTTCTGATTCCGTTGGAGGGTTTAGCTTTCCGGGGATCAGGAGTCTCTGTAAGGGACCGGTCACCTTGCTGGGAGGGGAGCTCGCGACAAGGTGCGGGGCAGAGGGGCCTCCGCTCCCCGCTCACCTGTGGCTGCTCCGCCGCGCGAGGCGCCAGCAGGGGGAGCCCGGACCCAGACTTAAGGAGCAGCCGCCCGCGCGCCTCCGGATGGGAAGAACCGACCCAAGTTTCAGTCCTGGGCAAGTCTCCTCCGTGGGAATCGCTAACGCCGGGAGTTTCCCGACCCGCCCCGCCTGTTGCATTTTTTTTTAATGCGCTTCCTCCGGAGGTGCCGCCCCACCGTGCGCCCCCGCTCCCCGCACTCGGGCGGCGGCTTGGAAACAGGAGACCCCCTGCCCGGCCAAGTCCACTCACCTCGGCGGGTCCGGACGGGCCCCGGGCAGCGCCGGGCCCACTGCGGCGGCCGTGGGGCGTCCGAGGAAACTGCTGTGTGCACGAG